AGCAAGCTGTTCTTTCCTCTAAGGAAGTTATTTGATTGTTCTGCATGGTGCACTTAAACTGTAAAGCAATTTTACACAAACTGTACCAAAGCTGCACATCTCATTCTAAAGTTTCACACTACAGTGTGATGAGGGAAAGAGTCTGAAAAAGTCAGGAGATAAAAAAAGCCAGAAGTTAAAGAAGTCAAGAGGGCATGTAATGAGCATTGATAGTTCAGATAAAAGAACAACCTAGTGAAGATTTCATGTTTTATCATTATTAAAAGTTTATTGTGAAATCAGCACAACACATAAAAATAGATCTGTGGTGAATGATACATATTACTGTTATTGCCTGGTCGTTTTGTGAACACTCTCACTTTTTAAAATCAGAAGGTAATGAATACAAGATGTTTCACCAGCGAACTGTGAAACCAGTGCTCCTGCAGCAGAGAGGCTGTGCTTCATGTTGATTCTATCCAATGTATAATGCAGTCAGAAATAGTCCTCTATTCACATTTAAAAATACACTCAGTTTTAGAGTATGCCCCAGCTGAAAATAACTGGAGAGTGAGAGCTAGAAATAACTCCTTTCTTAGGGACCTATTTCCATGAAAGTCAAAGGGATTTTTGACATGGATTTTAAAAGCAGAGGGACATAGTTATTTGTTGAGAGATGGAGAGGCCTAGCAACAGGAGCTAGGGAAGACCTGTGGCAGAGTAGGAGTTTATTATTTTGATCCTGCACAGGCTGCTGAATCTCCTTGTAGTAATTGTCTATGTTCATTACAGCAGTGATTGCTGGGAGGAGCTGAGAGGGTGTATCAAAGCCAGATAGGGTGTCTACAGCTCTTTTTTTTTTTCTCCCTGTTTGGGTTGGCCTTGGTTCTAACCCTGCACACCATTCACTGCAAAGTGACTTTCACCTGTGTGCTTTGTGATCCACGTGAGAAAATCAGAACAATACCATGATTACAAAACCCCTTGCCAGGTTCCTACACAGGTGTAAGCTTTACTTCCTTACTTCTGTGCTTATCACAGCAAGCATTTAGTGCTAACTTCAGCCCCTGACTCTTGTTCCTTACATTGTCATGTCAACTCCAGGGGTGCTGGGAGGTTGCTGACTGACTCAGCAGAATGGCTGTTCTGCAGTTTTCTGCATGGAAAGGTCTCTGTGCAGCCTCAGTACAGAAAACAGTGCTGGAGTTCTCTGGGGGGAGCATTTCTGTAGATAGGAGGCCAAATGAGCCTCACATCAGATATACTGCTTGAACATCTGTAGGGAAAATATACCTTAGTAGACTGGCTACTCCTATATTCTCCTGTCATTTATTTGGGAGCTTCTTTTACATCAGGCAAGTAGGAACATGAACCAATCTATGCTGTCCAAGCTTGTAAGCAACGCTGGGTTTTTTTGCCACAAGTCTTGGTAGGGGGTTGCAGCAGGTGGCAGCTAAAAATGTGGAAAAAGCCCATCCCTGGGAAGCTGCCCTGCATCTCCATAGCCTATGCCCCTGTCTGGCTCTGAAATGCCCACTAATGAACTCCTGCTCTGTTAGGACTACAGCACATCATGCTACCCCAGCCTCACTACCAAGCTGATGAGTGCTGTGGCTACTCTGGCCTTTTTTCCTCCACAGTGAATAATTTCAAAGCCGAAGATAAAAATCTCAGTGCTATTTCCTGCATGAAAATCTCTGGGCTTCAGTCTCAGCCTCACAGCAGGAGAGTGACAAAGGTGGAAAGCTGGCACAGCAGAACGGTGATTCAGGCTCTCCCTTTGGTTTTCAGGCTGTTTACTCAAAACAGCCCCTGAGAAAGATGCTAGGCCTCAAGCACATGTCACATTCAACCAGTTCAGCAATATCATGCCTAATTCTGCTCAAACTAGCCAGGGAGGGGAGGGAGAACTTCATATGTTAGTGCAAGTTCTCATAGACAACATGTTCATATTCAGTACAAAATGTTCTTTCACGGTGGGGCAAACATTTCTAATTGTGACACAAAAAGAAGGTATTTTGTAAGAGTTTTAACAAGTTGCCTGTGAAAAAGTGTTTGTGTGAAATATATTTAGACAGACTACCTCACATGACACTGAAATATTTCAAGGCTCTTTCTGAGCAAGCAATAACCTAGTTTTTGGGTTTTTTTTAATCAAATAAGCTTTATCACAGCCAATCCCAAACATAACTAAATAACTTGGTTGTGATTTTTATTTTTCATTAATTGTAATTTTTTCTTTTTCCTCTTTGGAAAAACAAAGCTATGCTGAGTGTTTCCACTCCACATGGGTTTTACCCATTCAAGACTTCTTTCATTGCAGAATCAACTTCCTCATTCAGAGGAAACCACAGAAATACTCAGCTAGTAAATTTTAGCATAAGATTTCAAAGGCTTCATTCACTCCTGAAGTCCTGAAGAATTGCAGCTTCCAAGGGGCTCACAGACTACTTGTCCCTACTGAAAAGCGTTTTATAAACCTCGCCTAATTTGGAAACAGTCTTTATTTCATGTCTATTAGGGCTTATATCCAAAACGAAGATATGTATAATCCCTAAATTGTGGAGACTGAAAAATTCAGGTATAAATTTTGCAGCACAGTCTCCTGTTTGAAACATTTGGATTTGACCCAAAGTCCAACTGAGTAGAAATAATTAAGGCCACAGTTTTCTCTGACTTACACTGCATGTGTAAGTGCTCTGTAGTTGCTTCTTAACATGATCAGCCAGTGTAAGTCAAGCACGAGTGGAACAGCCCTTGGTTACACAGACATCATCCTTCCTTTGCGTAAAATCGCCTGGTAGTGCCAAGAGCAAAAGAAAAAATAAAAAGGCTTCCAATCAGGTAATAGACATAGATGTGGAAACTTTCTTTAACTGTGACCTTCTGCCCTTTCTTGAGCTCTCAGCCAAGCTATAACCCATCAGAAGAGGATTCATAGCCATTCTTGCCTCGAAGCCTGGCTCAGAAACCACAACAGGGCAGGATCAGGTGGTGGAGTTATGCAAAGGCAAAACCAGAATCAGGGTCAAAAGAGCATTTTCCCCAGAGAGCAAACTCCTGGAGCAGGAACAAATGGAAGTGCCCAGCACAGCAGGTGGGAACAGGAGCAAGGCAGGATAACCAGGCCCTGGCTCCTACCAGAGATGCCCCTGACACTGCACTGAGTTCACTTTGGCATCCCTGGTGTAGGCACTGTGCTGTGCCAGGCCCCCACGGGACATTGAACGTCTGGGGGCTGTCAAAATCCAAGGCAGCCAAAATGCTTTTTCCAGGATGCAGTAAAGGCATGGAGGGGGCATCTCTATTGGTGGGTGAGCTGTCAGGGAGATTCCCTTTGGGTTTGTGCTACTGTAGGGTCATGGTGCTACTTACACTTCCCACTGGCCCAGGAGGCCAGGCCCAGGCACTGGCCCTGCATCAGCAAACCTGGCTTTGGATGTCCAGCTGGAGAAAGCACTAGGCACAGAGGGTGCTAAATTTCTCTCCAAACAGAATTTATCTTCTGCCTGCATCAGCTTTCATAGGGAATTTCCAAGCTGGAGAAAAACCCAAAATACCTCATGTAGAAGCACCTTTCCCTTGGATTTTTATTATCATACTTTTTAAGAATATATTCTGTACCGAAACACTGTCAGCATTCTTTACACAATGGAAAATGACACAGTCATTATGTATCATGTAAAACAGTAAAAACAGAGCAAGACAGGAACATTTCAGTTCAATCTAGAGTACAAACAGAATCTGACGTACAGCTTAAAAGACACACATCAGATTAAAAAGTTAATCAGGAAAACAAGTTATCTTTTATTTTGGAAAGAGGAAGAAAAGTCGGGGAACGTCAAATATTAAGGCTTAAAATTAAAATTTTAACTTGTATTTTATAGGTGGCAGCCTGATTCTTAATTCATCTGCAGCAGGAGCAGCAACCTCCCCTGCTTTACAAAGAGATTTGCACTTGGAAGAAATAAAAATCAGGCTTCTATGCTTGGATGACTCTGATTGGCCTCAACAGGCTTTGGACTAGAGCCACAGTTGGAATTTCAGCTTGCAAGTCTAAGGCTTCTTAACTGCAGGCCAAATTAGCACAAAATGAGGCTTTGCATTGGCATTCTATCCTTAATTTTGGATATTCCAGTTCTGGTCGCTTTAAACCACACTTTTATTGCAGGTTTCACATAGTTCTGTGTGTGAGATACTTTTTTTGTTTTTTCTTAAATACTGTGCTACAAAGGATGTTTTTATAGTCTGTATTTTAGTCCCTATATTATGTGTTTTCAAAATTGCCTAAATGTATGTTTATATCATGATTACAACTACTCAGAAAGACCCACTAAAGTCCGCTGTGAGCAGCCAAGGAAAAAAGTGTATTTAGTCCTAAAGAAGTCAAGAAAAGTGTCTGTGTTCATTTATAGTGTAGCGCAATGACTGTGTTTATACAGCTATACCTACTATTTAAAAAGCTACTCGAAAAGTTATTATTCATGTGCAGTAGCTGATTTTCAAGCATTAATAACTTGGCTGTCTAGACAAGTTTTAATTGTCATATCAAAGGCCAAATATGTTCTCAAACAAGTGTAAAGAATTTTCCATCTGCCTTGGAAAGAGGCTGGTTCTTTTCTGAACTAAGAGATTACCAAATTTAACTTTTTCTCAGGTTATGAAAGCACAGAAACCCCACAAATTTGCTGTTTAAGTTTTTAAAATAGATTGACTTCAACTCAAACCTATCCTGTGCAGCTAAGTTAGCACACCCTGAAAAACAGATTCTAGTGAATATGCAGTTCCCCCACACCAACTACCATGCCCACGTTTTCCCAGGGCCTAGAGGGCTCCATTAAAATTTAACTAAATGTGCAATAGGAAACATGTTTTTTCAAGAACGATATGTAAAGTTTACCCAAAGAACCTAAGACATTTTGTACATTCAAAATGTTTACACTTTGCTGTTCTTAATTGTCAGTAAGATTGTTCGTTTTTACTAATAATACATACAATGAGTATAAATAAATAAACTACAGTAAGTTTTAAAAATTGTATTAACAATACATTGTGCAAAAACTCATAACGATCTACATTCTATGCAAATACCCTGACTAAAATACACAGGCTGTGTTGATACACCCTCAGTCAGTTTTTGCACAGTCCTTGGGCCAAACCAATGGCTGAGGAAAATCAGCAAAATTCCATTACAAGTTATGGAGGCAATGCTGATTTACACCAGCAGAAGGGCAGGCCCCAAGGTGTGTGCAAAAATGCCATAGAAATCAGTGGGAATTGTGCTTGACTAAGGACTAGACAGTTTGATTGTACCCCATTAAAGTGAGTGGGAGTTTTGCCATTGATTTCCATGGAACCAGGCTCAGGCCTTGGGTAAGGACATCAGCACGTGGCCCTATGTTGTGCTACACGACTCCACTTCAGTGCAGAAACAATATTTGCAAAAGAAAAACTTGTTTTTGTCATCACTACTGTTCAGTAACCGGTTTTAGCGCTGCATTTCAGAGATTGCCTTTTCTGTGAGACTTGAAACAAGACTGCAAATCTTTCTGAATCCATTCCAATTTGATTATCCAGCACAGGTGGGCTACTTTGATCCAAGAAAAAAGCTTAATGTCTATAAACCAACAGTGCTCTTCGTTAGGATAAAAAACAGCCCGGTTCATTGGCACAGGAGTGAAGAACTGCTTGTGGAAAAGGAACAGGGCAGCCTTCCTACCATAGCTGTGTCCAGAGCCGGCTGTCACTGCTCCCAATGAAGGATGGCACCTGAGCTGGTTTGGAATCTGCAGTCCTAACAAGCTCAGCCCAGCTTTGTAAGCTGAAGATCTCCATTTATCTTTATTGTGTCAATTGCTGACAGTGTTTCAACACGGTGGTAAAAATCAAAGAGCTGATGTCCATCCACAAATATTCTAAAACGGGGATGCTCGCAAAGTATCTCAACCTGTAAAAGATAAAATGTTGAAGCATGTTGTTCACAGTGTAATTGGGAAGTTGTTTCAAAGCACACAAAGAGCACTTCAAATAGCGTTGGCACAGCTGCACATTGTGCTATTTAGGCACCACGCAGGAGACAAAGGTGAGACCAGTTGACACCAGTTACACTATGAGGGATCTGCTCTTACTGCACAGGGACATTAATCCAATCTCATGTTGTCGTAGCAGTAAGTACACTGCAACCCAGTCCACTGGCTACTGGAAGATTTTGTGTCTTAGAATAATGCCAGAAACAGACTCAAACTGCTAATCACAGCAGGAGGAAATTTTACTTCCAACCCAAACCTTGCATTCCTTGCAAAGTTGTTGGTTTTGGTAGAGTTTTTTTTTGCTGCATAAGGAGGCAGCTCACTCTCCAATGCTTTCCACACTACTTTTAATTTACTGGAAGGGAGTAAACATGGAAAGGGGATATAAGTTTGTCCTCCCCTCCCACACATACACAGCTGCTGCAGAACTAAAAACCTTTCACTACCGTGGCTGCAGACAGTCCCTGCCAGACTACACTTCATCCTGGGGCTGCAGTGAAGGAAATGCAGTGCAGGATTGCTGTGAATTCAGCTAGGCAGTTCTCAGGAGGATCACAGACAGGATCAGGGAGGGACACAGCTCATCCCTCCTCCTGAGAGACCTGCAGAAATGCTCTGGAAAAGCAACAAAGCCTGGAGCTGAACAAGCTTGGACACGTTAGGAGATGCCTGATGTTTGGGGTGGCTTGAGAGGGTGCACTGTTGAAAAGTTTTGCTGGAACTGCCCCGGCAGGAAGCTGCGACATGAGGGCACAGAATGCACACTTTTAGAGGCCCTTGGAGACCTCCAGGTCTAGACACACTAAGAAGAAAATCTTCAGGGAAGCCACATGTAAATCCTGGGTCATTTCCAGAAGCTGGAAGTCCGGAGTGAAGTGCTACCAGACACTTGACTCTGCTGCTACTACAGTGTATAAAAATGGGAACAGAGCATGGGACAAACTGACTGAGCCAAAGCCCAAGTGACTTAGAGCACGTTGCACTGGGAGAAGTGGCAGCAGGCAGTCCAGGAGAGCTGGAACTCCTGGATCCCTGGTATTGCACCAGGTAACAGGGAAACAGCCATGCTGCCACAGAGCTCCTGTGTCACTGCAGCAGTGCCTGCCTGAGGCCTTGTTATGTAAAAGATATGGTTAACAATGTTCACAGTCCGCTTTTCACATCACCCGCGGCCACACCACAGTGCTAATTGGACTGGATCGCAAGTAATTGGCAAGAGCACTTAATAGTCTAATTTATTCCCTGAGAGGGAGACTATCAAAGGTACAAAGTCAATTGGGAGCTTCAATTCTGTTTGGGCATTTGGGATAAAAGGAGGAAAAAAGGGCAAAATAACTCCCTTTCTACAGTCTCCTATGCTAGATGTGCAATATTGCTGTCCTGTAACGTCATCTGTCATTAGTGGGACACACATAAAACTTGCTCTGGGTAATTTGTCTGGCTCGTCTGAGGGCCCAGCCACCACCCAGTGCAGAAGGCAGTGGAACCCTCTTCAGATGGAGCAGGACCCAGCCTCCAAGCCTTTTGAAGTTCCCACACCACCCAAGGGTGTTGCCAGTTCTGATGGGAGGGTGAGTTTTGTAGAAGCAAGTAGAGCACAACCAATTTGCAGCAAAACCAGTCATAAACACCCTCTTAAGACCAAGCATCTGGGGAGATGCTGAGCTTTTGGGGTTGGGGGAGATTATCTTGGGGGCAAGAAGGATTAAGAGAGTTTGGCAGCTGGTCATAGCACTGGCATGTAGCAGAGGGGCCAGTGACGTTTTGTAAGAGGGATGGGGAGGAGGAGGGGTTTTCTGGGTCAGCTGCATGGAAAAGGCATGCAGCCTTTTCTCCTCAATGTAGTGAGAGGAAAGCAGCCCTCTGCAGCTTCAGTTTGTTAGTCCTGATTTGCAAAGACATCTTCACATAACCATAAACACTACAGGTGGGAATCTGCTTCTAGGTCAGCCCAGTCCATCCCCAGCACCACAGCATTTCCATGTACACCATTTTCAAGTGACTACAGATTTAAATTTGAGGGAAGGTTTAATCCCAGGGTTCAGAAAAGAATATCACTATTGCTTAGCTGTTTAATCTGCTAACACGAAGAGTTATGGCCAACCTTAACGTAACATCCCAGGAGACAAAGGATGAAGATGATCCTTATTAGCTGCACTAAATTGCAAACAGTATGTCCATTAAAAAAACCATCAATATATACAGCACTCCCACTGAATATTAACATTCTCCAGTAATAACTTGTAATGCACTAATAACATAGAGGTACTTCTTAATTTATGGTTATAAAACTAAGCTCAGGAAGTTGCACTTCATCACACAGTATTACAACCTCCGATTTGTCATAGTGCCCAGGTGAGGCATTCACAGCCCCATCTGAACTGCCTGCAGCTGCACGTAGCAGCGGGATCTCCATGCAAATTGATGGATACAAAGAAACAAGCAACTGGTGTCTCAACCAGAGCAGAGCGGGCTACACTGTGATTTCATGAAAGGCATATCAGGTTCTGCTGCAACTCATATCAAATGACACTTTATCAGCCACGGTGCAAGCCACTGCCATCCTGGTACTCACCCTAAAAGGCTGGTCCGGTATAAATGGAAAGTAAGGTATAGATGACTGCTCTTCCCCCCATTCTCCAGCTATACAAGAGTTTCTGACAAACTGTCTCTCTGTAAACACAGCTTTCAGTTCTATGGCTACATCCGCAGGAGGATCTTCTGACTCCCCACAAGTCAGACTGATGCCAAAGCTGCAACACAAACAGAACAGATCTCATTCAGTCAGAAAAAAAACAAATAAGCCCCAAATGCTGTCAGTCTTATTTCTCAGCTTATTAAAGCCATATAGCAGCACAGGCTGGAAAACAGCTCAGCTCGTTCAGAGCTCTCTGAAAGCTCAGCAGGGACAAGAACATGGTTATGGAATATATGTGTGTGTGTGCATGGCATTGTGCATGTATCTGTACATATACGCAAACATATATGTTTGATATGCTCCTTCACTCCGAAGTGAAAACGGGATCCCTTGAAGAAATGCCCCCTCTATGGGTCAAGGGAAAAATCAGCATGCTATATTTAAAATGATAAAAATAATCCTTTCCAGAAAGGAGGGATCCGTGCGGATGTGTGTGTGCGTACGTGTGGGTGGCCGCCCCCTTTCGTCCCCTCCCCGGGCCCGGTGTCCCCGGCACGGGCAGCCCTGCCCAGGTGTTACCTCTCGGGGTTGAGGTCCACTATGCCCATAACTAAGATCTTCTTTCCCGGTCTCATTCCTCCTTTGATGTGCCCACAGAAGGGGACGATCTGGAAAGGACAGGGGGAAGGTGGCGAGGGTCAGCTCGGCATCAGCAGCGGCCGCACTCGTGCAGCCGGAGCTGAGCGGGGGTGGGGGAGAGTAAAAGGGTTGACAAAATAAAATACACCACCACCTCCACCGAAAAGGAAAAAAACCCAAAGGTGGTTTACCAGGCGAGGGAAGTACACATCAGCTTGCACCGGAGATGCCAGGGAGTTGTTTAAATGCCCGTCCTCTATTTTCTGCAGGTAAAAAGGAGAGCGCTGAGGCAGGGCCAGGCGGAGCTCCCCAGCCCGCCTCGCTCTGCAGGTGCCCTGCCCGGACCCCAGCCCCGTCCCGGTGCCCACAGCCGCACTCACCAGCGCGTCCCGCTCCGCCACGGTCCCCGCCATCTTGTGGAAGCGGTGGCGGCGGCGCTGGGGACAGGGCGGAGGGCGGGGGAGAGGGAGGGAGGGATGGAAGGAGGGGGTCTGTGGCAGCCCTGGTGGCTGAGGGGTAGCGGCGTTGCCGGAGCGGAGCCGGTGCAGAAGTAGGAAGGCGAGGAGGAGGAGGAGGAAGAAGAGGAGGAGGGGAGGTGGCCGGCTGGCACTGCCTCGCCCGGCGGGGAGCCCAGCCCTTGGCCCGAGGGGGAGCCGGGCAGGGCAGGGGGGGGCGGGGGCTGGTGCCGCTTCCTCCGCTCCGCAGCCCCGCGGCGGGGCTGTCCCTCGGCCAGCCGGGAGAGCGCGGCTCCGCGGGGCTGGGGGGACGGCGATGGGCCCGGCTTCCTCGCCTGGCGTCTGCAGGTGATGGGTGCCTGGGGAGGGGCCAGAGCAGCCCCGCGCCCATCATGTCAAGGATCACCTTCATGTCCGAGCTTGGACACCTCGGCGAAGAAGATGTGCGGAGCCGGGCGTCCTTGGTGACTCCCTTCCTTCACGGGGGGAGACACTGCTTGGCCCCTCCGAAATGAACCTCCACCCCTCTACCCTCCGTCACGCCCCGTGCCGAGCACCCTCAGGGGGCTGAGACCCCGCGCGGGGACTGTAGGCAGAGCTCAGGCCAGAGGCTGAAGGGACTCTCCCGGCCGAGTGCGGCCGCAGCTCCTCGGGCCCCGCCATGCCTGCAGCCTCCGGCGAGGTGTGGTAATTGCATAAGCCGGCCGTGTCGGTGAGCTGCCATTGACATGCAGTGGCCGTAGTTATGCAACGCGGCCGTGTCTGCCGGCATCCCGCTCTGCGGGAGGACGGCGACCTCCGGCCGAGGCCACCGGCCCTGCTCGTGCCGCGCCAGCACAGCCTGTAGCACAGCAGGGGTGACTCAACCCGCCAAACGTGCTGTCATGGCCCTTTTGATGAGTTCAGGGTCTTGGGTGGGGGGAATTGAGGAAGGCTTTCTTGTCGCTTCTTCACCACTGGGATTTGATGTCATGTGCATCCCTTTAGGAACGTGACACAGCAACTGGATTTAGCCTGTGCTCTGCAGGATCTCACACAGGTGCCTTGGCCTTTTGTGCTTCTTGCTTACACACTGGGCTGGGTTGGTGAATGTCCCTGTCCTTCCTCCTCCGAGGCACTGTGAGGATTAATTATATTGAGTAAAGTGGAGTGGGAGAAGCAAAGTCACTGCAATACTTAGGGTTTCAATATGATGGTGTCTGTTGGGAAACACTTGCAATCAGTAGGTGATGCCGTGAGAAATCAAGAGGTACTGAGTGAACAGATTGTGCAAGTGTTTAGACGCTGGGCTATTTTTTCACTAGTGCCCACTAATTTGGGCATGTTTTCCTCTCTGGATGCCCAGTTGGAAATGGCTCATAGAAGCTCATGTTTGGAAGTCACGTACTGAAGTCATGGTTTCTTCAGGGTGTACTAGCACAGCTGGGCACAGAGGCAGTGAGCATCCCTGTGGCCCAGGTCTTGGCATGGGAAAACCTCTGTTTTCTTCTTGCCAAAACACTGAATGTCTCATCAGCACATGGAAAAGAATCTTTGTGGAGACTGAATTTGTAAATAGTGCAGTAACATGAACCCATCACACATCAGAAATAGCTGGCTTTACAGTGGTCAGGTGAGTGCACTCACAAGTTTACCACAAAGTGGAACTGGTATTAGCTTGATGTGTTTCAGCTCCTGTATGCTGCTCACCTCACTGTTATGGCGATGATGCCAACTGCATTATGTTTTATTTTTCTGTTGGCCTAAGAGAGAACAGCAATCATCCTAAGCTTTTTTTTTTTTTTTTTTTTTTTTTAAATTTAGTTGTTTGGTGTTGCACATTGTCCAAAGAGCTCTTTTCAGAGCCCTTTGTCTTCTCTGCTCTACAGAGGGCCATTTTGTTGGATAAAATTTAAATTCATTGGACATAAAATCAGGTCAGCCAGTTGTTTGTGCCAAAGAATGATGTTTTATGAAGGGAGAGGCCATCGTTATGTATTTGTTTTGTAGCTGGTTTTAAATGAACTTTTTAATTTCAAAATAATAGCAAGACTTGTCCATTTGGCTAGCTGCTTTGCCTTGTGCTTGTCTTTTTGGCGTGTTTTCCCAAAACTAGCACAAATGCAGCATTTGTTTTGTTGGCCGTGGATTGACTGGAACAACCCGCAGTGTGAAATTGTGATGGAAAAGGACATTCATGAGTTTTTAAAGCTCTGATGGCCTGTCTGTTTCGGTGCCATGTAATCCTCTTAGCCTTTAACAGTCCAGGAGGACACTGAAATCTTCTGGACAATGAAATACCATGAACAATGTCAGGCAGCCAGAGAGGAGCTCTGCCTCTGTGTGCCGCTGTCCTGCCTGCGTGACTCTCACTCCTGTAATTTCTCTGAGGGAAGTGTTCTCCAGCAGAAGATTACCTGCATTGCCTAGCAGTCTATGGAGCAGGATTCCATGTCTGGGCAGCACTGTGCCTCTAACCCAGCTTCCTAGAAGGTTCTCCTCTGCAAAGAGCTGCAGGATGAGTGCTGCACCTAAGCTCCTCTACTTGTTCTTCTGAAACAGGAGAGGTCTGAGCCAAGTCTATTCCCTCACCCATATAGTCCTTGTTAAATCATCTGTACAAAATAGCTCTCATTCAGTATTTTTAACAGCTTTCTTGGCAGGGAAGCTCTTGAGTTGTCATACTTGAGGGCCTGAGCTTGCAGACCTTGTGGCAGTAGCTGGAGCAACATGATAAATATTTGTGCACCACTGAAATGGTGCTGAGGTACAAGCTACCGAACTTGTCTGGTTGACCAAGTGCAAAAAACCTTGTGCATAGGTATTGTTTTCTATTTCTGGGTTTGTACAGCCTTTTGCTCAGTGGGAGCTTGGGACTCTTGAAATGCAGAGAATCATAAAAAGATTAAAAAGAAGTGGCATGGCATGAGCACCATTTGGGAGCAGTTAATGACATGCCCAGCCCAGCCACCAAAGACATTGCTGAGAACTGGCAAACCCAGAACTTCATCTTTATCCCAGCACCTTGTATCTTGCAGCCACTCCCTTTGATGATTTGAAAAGGTGTATCTAATTCTTTGCTGGCCTTCACTGGCAAGGAATGCAGCACGATTGCAAATTTGGTGTGGTATAATTACCCTGCCTTTCTTGCCCCATTACCACTGACATTACTCTCCTGATGCCTGGGTTTATAAGCTGACTTGTAGAACCTCTCTGGTTTGTTTTGCTTTTTTAATGACAATGTTGAGATGATGGGAGGTGTTTGCTGGTTTCATGGAAGCTTCCTTTGGTTTCTGGGTGGCAAGGCACTCCACTCCTGGTTTTTGTAAGACTCGGAAACAGCTGAGTAATACAATAAAGGAGAATGTCTGGGAAGAAGTGTGATTCAGTGATTTGAGCCAAGTGTTTAATAGTTCAGAGGAAATGTTGCTTTTCAGAATTACATCTGAATGGCAGTGCTGATAATCAATTATTTGAGTTGTATGGTAGGTTTTTTTTACCTTGCAGCTTTGCCACTGCAAATCCTCAGAGGGGGTCTTTTCAGGCATAAATTTACCCTGGGAGGGGTGTCCAAGGCAGGACTTGGGAGATGATCATATTGACAATTACAGGGGTTTGGTAAGGGCAGGGGGCTGGAAAACAGAGCAGATGTTGTACATGCCCTCTTGCTGTGTGGCCTCAAAGTGTTCTGAGGACAGGTTCTTCTGGCACTGGGCGAAACCACGGGGTGCTGTGTTCTGGTGGAGATGTCCCTGAGCCTGCCCTCCCACGCTCACCCGTGAGAAAGACAAGTGACAGTTATCAGTACGGACAACGTGGAGGGAGTGTTCAGCAGCCTGTGTGCTTTCACAGGCTTGTGCTGTCACATCCCTGTGGATGGAAGAGGAAACTGAGGGCCAGGAGTAGCATCCCTCTCTTGACATTTATTTCATGTGGCTTCACTGCCTCTTTTTGCCCCCTGAATTATTGCGGTCAAGGGTTTTGCCCTTAGGGTTTGAGCTCTGTCTGTGCATGACCCCCTGGAGAAGTTGGTTTTCTGGGGATCCTGGTAAAAGATTGTGTAAACTGGTGTTTAAGGAGATGGTTCTGGTGGCTGAGTCGCTTGGTCAAACACAGAACTACTGCACATCTGGTGCAGAACATGTGTGTATCAGAAATATCTTTCTTGAAGACTGTTTACTGAAGCTAGCCCCAGGGTCTGAGGGCATGTCCATAAATGCATGTCAGATACAGTGGAAGCCACCTCCAGCTCACTGCTTGCTTCTCCTTATAGCAAATAGGGCATCAAACTGCACCCCCACAGCTTCCTCTGTCCCCTGAGCCAGCTCTGGGTGTCATGTGGGAGGAAGAAGCTGGCTGGGGAAGAAGAGCAGGGAGGCTACCACGAAGATATGATATTTGTTACCTGCCTCTTTTGCACTGGCTCCTGCATTGCCAGTTTTGAGTGAGTCGTGGTTCCCACATCCAAGAGGCAGGCAGGAGAGGTTCCCAATTTGGCCCATGCCACTCAGAGGGTAGAGGGAGCCCGAGCTTGGGCAGCACCTCTGTTCTGCCACCGTGCCCTTCCCCACGAGTACAAAGACCCCTCTCTGCTCTCCTTTTGAGGGGCAGCAGGGCCTGAGGCTTTCTGCTCTCTTTCTGCAATGGAAAGAGCAGTAGGTGGATACAGTTCTGGGGTAAGCGGAGGGATGCTCCAGGCACAGCTCGATAGGGGAGCACAGCTCCCCAGCTGGGGAGAGGTGCCCCTGTGGCTGCAGCAGGCCTTGGGCAGCTGCCTGACAAGAGAGAAAAATGGCTTGGAGCTCAGGTCATCCCGTGTCTATTCCTGCTGCACAGGACACCACAAGGAGCCAAGAGAGCCTGGGCAAGCCCCCTGAAGTTGAGCTGCCTCCATGTCATTTAGTCTCTCTGGTCTGGGCTCAGTCACTGAGTACTGGTGCTCCAGCTTAGCAGTAGAGGCATCACTGCACACCTTGTCCTACTCCTTTTTTTCCAGTGGAGTCCAGTGCTGGGAACCTGGCGAAACTTGTGGAGGCCAGCAGAGATGACAGTGAGAGACTTACAGCTGCCTCTGGCTGTGTTGTGGTGCAGGGATGTGCAGCCAGTGGAGTGAG